GCATTTTTAGTGCACACATCTGTATTTATTTTATAGATGCTCCATAGAGGTTAGTATGGTATTCATTAATAAAACAAGTACTATAACACATATCATACATATGGTACTTCTCAAGTCTCAGTTGGCTTGCTTATGTGTGCACACAGTTTTTTATTTGGCAGCATCATATGCTAGTTACTTGCTGTCTTGCTTAGATCAGTGCAGTCATCAGACTGATAGGTGGAAAGACAACACTTCTGTCCTTTTCCTGTCATCTACTTTTACAAATACCTCCTCACTATTCCATCATAATAAATGCTGTATTTCATTAAAAAAAAATATGTAGTCACAGTTGAAAAAGTCCACATCCATATAAGCTGAGAAGGGTTTTGTCGCTTGCTACAGAACGAGACGTGTGGACAAGCATTGGAGAGCAAAATGGAGGTTCCTTGCTGGTAACTGACATTTTTGAGGGTGTATCGTTCATTTCCGCTTCCAACTGTGCTTTTCTTCTTGGAGTGAGGAACAAAAAATTGAGGTTGTACATCACCTTGGAAAGTGAGGAGGCACAATGTGCACACAAAAATGTATATGCTTAGCCTAAAGCAAGCCATGATATGAATACGATATGGTTATTACAGCATGATGAATCTTAGTTACAGGTAACAACTTTCTCTTTTGTCTTGCATCTTTAGCCTGAACTTGGTTTCAGCTATAATCATAGCTGCTCTGGTGATCCTACAGTGTGGTAGTATTTTGTAGAGCCAGTGACTCATTAGAAAACCTCGATAAAATATAAGCTTCCTGTTCCTTCTTAATTTGTTCTTTCTGTAAGGGAAGGAAATAATAGGGAAGTGTCACTATTTTTATCCTATTATATGCAATAAATCTTTAGAAAGGTAGCAGCTTTTCATAGAAAAAAACTAGGCAAGGATTCCAAATGCTGAGAAAAGCCATTACATTCTTCAAGAAGTGAACTGCTATTTTAGAGCCATAGATAGCTTAAGCAATAGCAAGCTATTGTTATAATTTACCTGGACATCAGTATTTCTTGCATTCTTCTTGCAATAGCCTAATAAAGAGAAAGACAGGAAGAAACATGAAAGTGGAGGGGTTTCTACTGATTTTCTTCATCTTCTGAATACAAAGTGGTGAAGAGATTGTGGGATGCACAAAGCCATTGAGTTTGCAGTGACAGCTGTTGCTGCTGGAGAGGTGAAAGCACTTGGCCCAAGAGTCTGTTTATGTGTTTGAGCAGAGAAAGTGATTTTCATTGCAAGGAACTCTTAAGTGAGACAGGCAGAGTCAGAGAATAAGAGAGCAAAAGATAATTATCTAAATTATGTTCAGGCTGTTACAGAAGACGAATATAGTTAAAATGTAATTAAATATGACAGGCTCACAGGATGCAAGCATGGCTCTGGAATGCTAATCATCAATTACTGCATCTCCTTAGGGGAGTCAGGCAGAACGAGAGAGTTAGACGTCGGGTGGCTGAGGTGAGATGTAGAGTGTTAAATAAACACCATAGGACTGTAACAAGGCTAATTTCTTTTGGAAAATGGAGCTGTGGTATCAGAGGACCTTTGCTAGCCAAACAACTTGTAGTGCTGCATTTCAGCTTGAGGACCCTGGTATAAGTATGAGTAGGCTGCCAGTCCAGAGTCTTCTCTTAGGGATGTAAACCTCAGCTTGAGGCTGTGATTATTTCTGTTGTGAATGTGATGACCAGGACTGCTGCAGATTGAGCAGCAAATCTAAAATAAATCAAGAAGCAAGACAGGTGTGAAAGCAGAAAAAAGATCAACGCTTTGTGAGTATTTAGAAAAGTTAAACCCTGAAAAATCGATTTGTTATAGGACCACTAATAAGGAATATGGAGATTCAGAAAGTCCAAAGACAACAGTGTCGCTTTATGGGAGAAGTAAGTCCTGATAGCTTCTTTACAATGACGCTGTCCCAGCTAAAGAAGGTGGCAGTATTGCCACCAGCTTGAAAAATTTGTTTGCTTGGCTTATGGGGGGTAAAGGTAAAGAAGTGGCATCTATTACACAGAAGTATCTAATCCCAGACCAGAAATGAGGTGCTTTTGATACGTTTTAATGCTGCTGTTCCTGGAATACAGTGACTTACGTATGAATCAATACGAGAGCTACATATAAATTTTGGATGAAATTTTTGTAAAAACCATCAAAAGCAATTATGAGGGTAGAAAGAATAGCTCTTGTGAGGGAAGGATACAATAGACACATACACATGGCATGACTATACAAATAGCATGACTACAAAATAATTTGCAAAATAAAATTTCTGCAGGGAAACCGAAATTATTACAGTAGTACAGAAGAGATAACTAGTAGTAAAAGAAGAAGGTTAAAAAGAAACTTAAGGCCTACCTGTGATGTGTTTAACTTAATTGAGGAACACCACTGAACAATTGTTATGGCTCAATACATAAGTAGAAGTCTTACTGAATTTGTTATACCAGAAAAAAATGCAAAAATAGGACAGATAGGTCTTGATAATGTTCTGTCAGTAAGCTTTCTTCCCATATGGGTATAGTTACACTGCATAAATTATCTCTTTGCTGCATAATTATATCTGTGCTGGAGAGGTATTGCTTTGTTTGTATCAAAGTTCTCAAATATACTTTTACAGTTGAAATCAGTGCAACTTTCTAGTGAAGAAGATTTGCCTTGCTTACTTCAAAAGTGACTTTTGCCAAATCCATTTGGGTTTTCTACTCTGTTTTTTTTCCTTTTTGCTAAGGAAATAAACTAAGAGACCTAATTTTCTTATTATCCCATCAAGTACTAATTCTCTAGTGGCAATATTCTTGAATTCTAATAACTTGAATTTTAATAACTCTTTTACAAATTGTCTGTAATTTTGACTTTCTTTTTTCAATGAGAAAGGAATAAAATGGGCACATACCAAAACAGTAAATATTCTTAGTACAAAATTTATTGAAAACCCTGTATCTCTTCAAATCTCACATCCTCAAGAATTTTTTTTACTATTTTCTGTCATGTTTTTCTGTTATTAGAAGGGTAATTATAATCCAATCCTAACAGCAGCATTGTAGCAGAAAGTAAGGACTTGTAATGCAGTGGAAGAACTTAGGAGCTTTCTGGAGGAGCTGATCTAGAAGTGTAACGTCAAAAGCATCATCAGAGACCTTTTTCTCAACCTCTCTTAATATCTGTCATAATCTTCAGCAGTATTGCCAAATAGATGTGTCAGCTTCCTTGTGGTCACTTCCTACGACAGACAGCGACATTTACTGCCATTTTTGGATGAAGATGCACTGAACTTTAATCTCCACTGAACTCTTGCAGTGTGTATTTGGCCACTGCTCAGTGTAATATAAATTAATACAGACCCATTTATATTCTATTCTGTGATCCCTAATTAACCTATTTTCTTGTCACAAAACACGAACTTTACCTTAGAGGCTAGGAAGGCATAGGATGTTCGTAAACTGGCTGATTTTAAACTCTTTTATTTGAATAGCTTCAGATTATTTTCCAGATCACTAAATAGAGAAATCCAATTTTTACATCATCACTCTCCTTTACAAAGTGTGTGTCTTTAAATGTGAAAGCGTATGCATATTGCAAACTATGGCAAAACATTGTTATGAGAAGCAGTCTTACAATCATCTGATTGTCCCAGCCACTCATCTTGGGGACTCTGTACTTCAAGGTAACAGGTTACATTTGGCCATGAAGATTAATTGACTGGCTGTACTAGAGTAATATGAGAAGGAAACTCAAGAAGAATTGTTCTCCTATTTAGAGAAAAAAAAATATTAAAATCATAGCAGTCTTTCAGATCTTGAGACAGTAAACAAAAGAGACTGTTCTCATTTTGTATTTTATTTCGAGCTTGAAGAAACAGCCTGAGCTTTAAAATAAAGAGGACATAGCCATGTAAGCGATATAAATAAACCATGCCATTAGATAGATAACTGCTCTACCTCTGAGGCCTGACACAGACCACACCTTTCTATTATGATGCATAGCTTTAATTACAGCCATTACTTCATGCAGTAACACCAGTAAACTACTTAAAATTAGGTCTTGATTTGGCTCATAATCTTCTTTAAGTAAATGTAACCTGACAGCAGTGATAGTTGACACAATTAAACCCAGAAATGCTATGTTTGTGACAAAGAGGTTTTCCTACTAAGGGAAAATTCACGTGCCTGGCAAATTGTCAGCAACCAAGTTGTTCACACTGCCAGGTTTTAGGGTCATCTACTAGTGGCAAGTGGTGTTTTATTCTACTTTTGCTTTGGTTCTTTATTTCTTATATGAACACTTCTGAATGTATTCTGAACATGTTCAGGAAACCTATCCTATGTTTTTCTTCTGTAGTGAGTCAATCAAGTTATACTTCACTACATTTTATTAATTTACTGGAAGGACCTTGGCCCCCGCAAGGGATGCTTGGCTCCTCTGTCTCCACTGCTTCACTTAGAGTAGGAAGAGTTTATTTGGGGTTTCGGGTGGGTTCTTGTTCTGTTTTATTTTTTCTTTATTTTTTTCTTTCTTTAACCAAGCTCTGATGATTTTTCATGAGTAGTTAACAGATGGATGCTTTCACTTTTATTTAACTGGTCTTTTGTTTATCTAATAAGGTCAACATTAGTCAAGGATTTTAAACTTTGATTCTTTTTCTTTTACCATTTTCTTAACTTTCAGCAATAGTATGAGTATTATTCCTGCATACAAATTATAGTAGTATAAAGTATGTATGAAAACATGTAAGTAGAGTCAAGGCACTTAAAAATAAAATGCACAAGGAGTGCTGGAAATTCAGATGATAAAAACTGTTTGTTTGCCCTGTTAAGTGGTAATAGTACATACTGTCACTTGAATGGATTCTCTGTATATCTTACTGCAAGCTGTTGTGACTGTGTTTAATATTTGTATGTCTTTCTGGAATTTTTTTGTAGATCTTGGCAAACAATCACTTTTGATAAACAGCCGGCGTCTTTTATCCGAATAGTCGGAACTCACAACACAGCTAATGAGGTAAGGAACTTTTAAGAAAACCCGTGTTCTCCATGAATATACAACAGTAGATTTTTTTCAGATTTTGCATTTAAATTGATGCTGTCATCTGAAATATACTTGCTTCATTTTTTTGCTCTGACAATCTAGCAAAATAAGAATGCTTTCATATTTTCTTATTTGAGTATTTATGAACTGTGTTATCATCTTTCCTGCAGAGTTGAAGGGCTGCTCCAGTCTGTGGGATATTTTAGGGGGTTTTACAGACAAAGTACAGTAAAGAGTTTCTGTTTTTGACCTTTCCACAGTGCCACCAAACATTCCTATTGGGTTTTGTTTTAAATTAATCCTTATTTTGTTGAATGATGGAAGTACCATTTTAGTGCACTGGAGAAAGGTGTATAGTCTCTGATTACTTAGTTTTATCACCTTTATATTATCTTTTTAGTGAATTAAACATTAGAAAAATCTCATTCTTCATAACAAAATCTTATTTGCGTATGATTCTTCTATAATTAATTTTCATACTTGGTAAATCAGTTAACCACTAGTGGCTAAACCAAGAGCCTTTTTTCAATTCACTTTAAAAAGAAAAAAAAAAATTTCCGCTACCTAACTAGGTGCAATATCATCCTCTTTTTGTTTACTTGTGCTTCTGTCTTTCATAATTGTTGTGTGTTGTCTCAGATGAAGTACAGATTTTTCTGTTCACTTCAGTGAAACAATTTACAGTATGTGAATTTAAGAATATATGTAAGTCTTTCTGAAATTAGGACCTTATATGACGAGAGGCACCAAGAGCTGCTGTGTCTGCATGTATACCCACATGTCTACATCCCACACATACAGTTCACCACAAACACATACTGTTCACCACAAAAATTATACTTTCACTTTTTACAGTGAACTTTGGATAGCACTATTACATTTGTAGTAATTCAAGTTTGTCAGCTCTGGGAGATGCAGTTTCTGATCGTATTTAGCATAGGGGATTGCTGGTTCTTAAGCATTGGAAGAATTGGCAAATAGCATTATGTCCAATTTTAGACCAATTTTTGCAAATATATGCACCACCAGATGTCAACATAGCACACAGTTGAAAAAAAGCTGATCAATCAACTGAGAATACATTTTTTTTTTCTCCTAAACACTGTCTCTTATGGTACAGTTCAGCCTAAATCAGCGAGTTCTTAGAAATACAGAGTCAGAAGCTGCCTCCAAGATTGTACATGCATGAAGAAGGCCTTTTCCATTGCTGATCCATATAGACGGTCTTGTTTGCCTTCATGCCAGTCTCTGTAAGTTCTCATCTCTTTATTAAAAAAGAATGAGATGTGTAAACTTAGCGAATCAGCCTACAAGAAACATTACCTCCAACTTCTATTTCTTAAAGATTGCTTTAAGCCCTGTAGAGTATTGAGATTTTAAACATAATTCTAACTTCAAATAGGTTACGATTTCCTAGGAATTTAATATCCTCTGCAGTTATTTATATGGAGCTTTGAGCAGCCTGGTCTAGTGGAACGTGTCCCTGCCCAAGATAGGGAGGCTGGAACTGGACGATCCCCCTATAGTCTGTAACTATAATGAAGATCAGTATGTACAAATTGAGGTGGCAGCTATTCATGTATTGGTTCAGTGGAACTATAAACACATGCTGTTCTAGGTCTTTTTGTCCTTTGTCTTTAAGATCTGTACCCAACACTATTATTTCTCCTAAAGTGTGTAAAGGAAGAACATTTTATGCACGCACATATTACTGAATTACTTTATATATTTTTTTTAAACAGATACTCTGTAACATTTTGTTATAAAATTTCATTTTCCAAAGAAGGCTGCAAGGTATTTTTCATACTTCCAATTTAAATAATAACAGTGTAACCAAAGTCTTCGTTTGTTCTGGAGTCTATAGTATGGGTAGGCTCTTCAGTAAGAGCACAAGCAGTTTCCAGAATTATTTGCCAACAGCTGGTTGTGTTTTATGTCAAACCTTTCTCATTTAAAACAAAAGATGCGAATGACAGCATATTCTCACCAAGGAGTTTTACTGTAATAGGTACAAAAATACCTTTGAACTTTGAAGAACAATCTGTATTTTCCAAAGGGAATTTGCAAAATTGATTTTTGGAATTGGAAAAAAAAAGGAGGGGCAAACAAACAAACAAAAAACCCCCCCAAAACATAAAAAGCTTTGAAAGACCTGATGTTCGCAGATTTTTTTGATCTGGCATTTCGATATTTTTTGGTATGGTAGAACATAATAGAAGTGTAACCTTTTGTTTTCTTGAGCTTCCAGACATTCTGCTTTTATAAAGAAATGGATTGGTTTTTCTAAGTCCTTGTCATTATTTATTTGTCAGGCAGGTCACTGAGGTGAAGCACTTTAAGTACTGACCTGGAAAGTACACCTAGTTGCTAATGTGAGAACTTTTCTCTTACAAATTACTGCACCAGTGTATATGTACCTGCTTTGTATGTCGGACCTCTCTTAAAGTATCTGTGAGAAGTACAACCTGCCATTTTTCAAAGGATGGTGCTTAACTGTCATCTCCGCCTTTTGAGAGAAATACATGCAGGATTGTTTTAGTAATACTGTTCTGAAGCACATAATTCTGATACTGGATGAGCTCAATTGTACTTCTCTGTCCTCTGCTGCTTCACAAGCTGTATTCTCTATATGTTGAAGTGGCAGAGTAACTGAAAATAATGTGGTAAATTCACAGGCTTGTTAATGTGCCAGATACTGAATTGAGCATTGAGAATTGCTAGAAATGAAAGTTACAGTTTAAGAATCAGATACTTCAGATTTCGTTATTAGCTAAATTTCAATGGTATTCATACTATATTTTAAAAGCATGTATCACTATGTAAAGTGAAGTTTTAAATAAGAAATCCTATTGGTGTGGGATACAGTAGAAATATGGAATCTTCCGACTTGGAGACCTCCATCCCACCCATTAGACTGTGCCGCCTTTCAAGGAAAGCATCTTACAGAGGTGCTCTGAGGAGATAACGTTCTTTTCTGCAAATCCCAATGCTAATAAGTGCAGCTGGAAAAACAATAACTGGTACTTAAAAACATGGGAGCAGAAGTATAAAAGGGGCTTCTTGAGAAGTGTAGCTGAATGCAAAAATTGGCTTCTCAAGAACTGTAACAGATGGAGAGAATTGGTGCAACTGTAGAAAGTAGTTCAGCTTTAGAAAAAAGCTCACCAGAAGAAATGCAGAGAAGAAACACTTTGTGCACATGTGGGTATGAGTGTAGTTTTGTAATCTGTTCATGTATATAAAGGCATAGCAATACATCTTTGTGTGTATATGTAGAAATACAAGCATGCATTTCTATGTGTCTATATAAAAAACTGCACTGAGAAGCACAAGAAAATACAATGGAGATTAAAACAACAGTGACTTTGAATATTCCTATTAGTTTCATGTATGATGTCAGAATTTGAATTAAGTAGCTACCTCCTCAGAAAAGACCCAGGGGCTATAGCGGCCATGTCATTGCAGAAACGTCATTGCAGACACGTTGCACTTGAGCAAGGATGGTCAGAAAGTATAACAGGATTTTCAATTGTATTGAAGAAGGGCTAGAAAATATAATATTCTTTAGTCTTGTATGAATATGGAGTATACCCGTGTCTTGTTTATTTTGAGTTAATAATTTTAAAATTCAATTTTTAATATTCATCAAGCTTTAGCTACAAAACTGCAATACATGAGAAAGTAGCAAATTTTAAAGCAGTACAAGAAAAGATTTGTTTAGTCTGTGACAAAGCTGTACACTTTGTAGCAATTAGAAATCATGTCAAAAGAAGTTTTTTAACAATCTTAGAGTTCCTCCCCCTTCTCCTCCCAGGCACCTCAAGAACAAGTAGAAGTAAGAGTAAGTAAAGTAGAAAATACATTTGAAAACCTGCTTAAACAGATGGTCCTCTTACTCTAAGATACGGTCACCTGTACAGAGGTCCCAGGTATTGTTTGAAACATCAGAAAATGATCACTGTTTGCGATGAAGTATTTCATCTGATGAAGCAGCAGCCTCCTCGGACACTGAATGCCTTTCTGCCTACTCCAGGATGTGTTTTTAGAGCTACCATTGATTGCTATTACAGCAGAGGGCAATCTTGAATTAAAATCATATTGGTAATGATTTAAATTTCGTTTCTAGTGTGTATGAACATTCAGTCTTTTGTGCAAGTAATTAGATCATAAGATAAGTTTAAGACAATATAATTGTTGTTGCCATCCGATAGCATGCAGTAGATATTTATGCTACTTGGCAAAGAAAAAAAATCATTTACTAATATCTCTGTCTGCTTTGGAATAATCTTTCTGATCTTTAGTGCCATATGTAAAGGTTGGTATAATTTGAAGGCCTTCTTTTGCTTCACTTGTATTGCTTTATAATGTTCACGGCCCATAGACAGAAGTTTTTGACCTCATGGTGAAACATTCTAATTTGACTCAGTCCTTTGGCACTGACCTGGCCTGCATACTTCCATATAGACTTCCTCTTACTTTGATCATGCTTTTGCCAGCATTTAGTTGTTTTGCTTTATCTTCATTCTTTGTTCTCTCCAGGTGTTTCACTGTGTGCATTTTGAGTGCCCAGCACAAAACAGTACCCACAAGGATGACAGTAGTAAGGAAGTGTCAACGACAGAGGTGGGGACTGGTGGACAACAGCTTGTTTCTCGCCCTGTTCGAGCTGCAAGCACTAGCTCCCTGCATTCCCCTCCTGGCTCCACCCCACGTCCACATGCTCACCAACCGTAAAGGAGATTCAAAGGGAGCTTTTGCAGCCCTGCTGACATTGTATGAAATTATTCAGAACCTTCCTGTGCTCTGGCATCTTTTATTTCTTTTTCTCTGTGAACAAAGGGGACCATGTCTGGAAGCTGGAAATGCTGAAAACGGAAAAGGCTTTTCCCAAGGACATGAAGAGACTGCTTCACTCTCCTCAATTTGTTCAAATCAGGCTGGTCTTTGAGGGCAGAGAAAATAGGTCTTCAATCTTCATCAAGTACCCCATTAATACCCTACCTCTCTAATCTAACCAAGCAAGAGAAACAGAAGGAAAGAAAAGGCAGAGCTACAGTGGAAATTTAAAATGACTTAAGCAGAATGGAAGGCATATGAAATAAGTATTTGGTCCCTGAAGGCTTCCATTAACAAGGAAAAAGTTTATGGAACACATCAATCTAGAATATGTTATTTTTAAAAGTTACTCTTCATTTGTATTCCTTTGTAACTAGCAATCTGTTTTAAATTGTTTTGACTCTGTATTCCACTTTGTCTCTTATTTTTGGCTGTAGCGAATGCTGTGCAGTGGATTAAGAAAGTATCAAACATGTTTACCTGCTGAGATGCAAATTCCATCATTCATCAGTGGGATGACAAGAAAAGCCTTCATGATAGCAACAAACTAATTAATGGATGCTATATTAATCTTGACCTTAGCTGACTTTTCAAAGTACAAAATTGTAATTTCTTACACTTTAAAAGGAAATTCCTAAATCAAGCATCCATCTTGAAGAAAAAAATATTTTTCACTCCTGAAGAGAATGACTTAAATTTTACCTGTATTTCTAAGAGAACTTGTAGCATATGATCAAAAATGTTTGCTTTAGAAAAGTGGAACTGCATCTGGTCACTGACAAGCAGTCATTCCGAATACAAAAAGAAGAATTTGCAGATAATTACCTTTAAAAAAAAAATACAGTCTGGAGCTAAAAATTCAAAGGCTGTGTGTGCATAATGTTTTCTCATAACCTTCATTAAAATATGATGCTTTTACACTGTATTGTAAGAGATCTGGCTCTTTACAGTCACAGAATTTGTTATCCATCTGTTTCTGTCTGGATTACATTGCCTGCTACTCTGCTTATTCTGAGTGTTTCCACACTGATGACAATGCAGGCTCTTTAATCTCCAGATATATGTGACTTTTAGGAAGAGCTCCTTGTTGGTCTTTCAGTATGGGATAAAGTGATTTTGTATTACGACAAATGCTGATGTAACTGGCAAAATTGATTAGGAAGGTTGTTACTCCTCACAAAGTAAATTATATTGGAAATGTCAGCTGTCCAGTTTTATGAACCTGGAATTTTCTGTGGTGACAAATAGCCTTGTCAGAAGAAAACAAAGCTAGTGTAATATAAATACTATTTTCTTTTGCATAACCATAGTGATAAAATGAGTTATATCAACATGGCAAATATTATGTTAATTTATCACACTACTTAATTTGAAAGAATTTCCCTGTTGAATACTAGTAGTGCTAAAAACTGGAAGAAATATAACAAGTGCTAGCAATGAATCAGTGGAAATTCTGAAGGAGAAAAGCTTCCTTTTTCTTCTTTCAAATAAAATTGACTGGGCGTGCTTTATCAATAATACAGTATTTTTTGTTGCCAAATTGCAGGTGAGTTCTGACGTTTGCATAGAGCCCTCCTCCCTTCCCACTGCTGTCTTCTGACTTGTGAATGTCTGTCGGTGAAGATGTTGCCCATTGCGTTATACATAGCTTGTAACATGTGCCACAGCTGCTTCGGACAGTCTGGAGTTCTGAGGCAGGACGCTCCCTGTGCTGGCCAACACTGACTCTGGGGTGCTGCTTCCCCTGGGGCTGAGCAGCCTTTGGAGCATGAAAGAATTGAGTCCAGGTACTGGGGACACAACTCTCATGTTTAAGTATAGATCCAAACAGTTGAATTTTTTTTCTTTATTATTTTCTTTGTAAAGTAAAACCAGAAAATGTTTCTATTCTGGTTGTAATCCATGCTGGAACTTCTGAGATGCATGGAGCATGTCTTCTCTATTAGATAAGTCCTTCCATGTCAGTGGTGGTATTTCTTTCCAGTTTGATCAAACAAGTTAGCTTTTCTTAATCTGTGGATAAAGAAAGAGCATAACTTCTTATCTGTTAGTCTTTAGTAGTCATCACTGTAGGGTGTGTTTAAAGAAGAAAATTATAAAAGCTTGCTAGCCGTTCTGAGTCTAGGCTCTCAGAGAAAGCACAGGATTTTCAGTTTGAAATCTTTGATGTGCACAATTTTTGTGATACAAATAAGTTTTGTAGTTTATAACCTACTGCAAATCTTTTTGATCTTATCCTGTGACTCCCTACTGAAGAGAAATGTCTATTATTTCCCATGACATTTGCTTTCTGGAAAGAATCTGAATGAACAGATCTGAGAAATTCCCAAAGCAAAACCCATCAGGTCCTATCGACCCTCCCATCCACCACCCCCAAAAATAGATTGAAACAAAAACCATCTAAGCATTGTCCCTTCATACAGGTGAATAGAAATATTTAGATTTGGCGGGTTCTCAGTTACACATCATGGCCTTTCTCACAGTCTTTTATTTTCTTAGAGTTACTCTTAGGAACCTGTTACTGAGCTGAGTCCAATATGGTAACAGAGCTCCCAGGCTTTTAACACAAGCCCTGTCACAACTTTACATTTTCTAGTGGGAATTCTTTACCTTTTTACTGAAGGGAATAATACTGAAATGTTTAAGGGACCTGAACTCTGCCTCTGCTTGGTCTTCTAACACTACCTGCCAACAAACACCCCTCAGATCTGCATTGCCTAGTATAGGTCTCTGTCTTAAACATTGTGTCAGCAGTGTATTGCTAGTGGCAAAGGAAGATACCACACAGAACTATTTGTGGTTTGGTGTGAATGTTCTCATTCTTTCTAATCGTTATCTGTATTTATTGACTCCCAATTTCAGATGTATTTCTTGTATATTCGTCTGAAATATTTTTTTTCTTTTTCTTTTTTTTGTTTCAGTGGAAGTTGTGCTGTTATGGCTTAGTATCAGGGTTTTATCAGAGTGATGAAATACTGTAATTATTCAGAACTGTTATCACTCACTCATATTTTATTTGCAACAGGGGTAGAGCAGAACTGACCAGGTATTCATTGCTTTCTAGTAAGAAACTGTAAAATTGACTTCTTGTTAGATTTCTGCATAATGGAACGAACTATATTGTACTATTGAGCCATTATTCCTGTTAGGTACTTTAGTATCTTTAAATTCCCCAGGCCACGTTTTCTGTTTTCCTTCCCGAGGTTGAATTCAGGCTTAGGCTCAACACCTATGATACTCAGCAAAGCCTTTTCTAAAGTCTCTTTATTTAATTAACTTATTTCAAGTGCTTTTAAAAGGTGTTTATTGACAGAAATGTATGGCCAAATACCAGCTCTTTAAAACTTACTTATCCAGGAAAATTAATTTCTGACGTGAGCAAAAATTGTACAATTCTGTTTTCAAGCCATTACCAATCAGCTCCAAAACAAGATCAAATAGCATGTTAAATGGAACTACAATGAGAGAAGTTAGTCCGGGTCTAATGTAGAAGACAATACAGAGGAGGAATCATCAATTTTTGAGTGAAGAACTGTTCTTCATTGCATTTTCCTTCCTTTAGAGCTGCATTTCTTTCTTCTTTTTCCCCATGAAATTTGTTTTTTCTTGTTTATTATGACATCTCATGAAAGACCTCAGTGCTTCTCAGTGTTGCTGAAAAATTCAAATTAATTTAATGCATTTTCATTTTTACTAACAATAACATTAAATTAGAGACTTTTCAGTTTAGTATCTGCCTTGATGAGAGTTGGTTTCCATGAAAGCAAGCAAAAGATGTCTATAATTGTTCCACTCCAAGTAACTTAAGTTTTCCAAACAAATGCATACAAGCGTCTACTCATTATTCAGTGATGTTTTGTACATCTAGAGCCAGCACGAAAATTAGAAAGCAAAGTTAATGCCATTCTTGTCTGATTGTTGTGTGTTAGTAGATCTGGTTATAGGGTGATGATTGAGCACCTACTCAGAAGTGCTCAATAAGGAATTAGGACTTAGATGTGATTTCACAGAAAGTAGACATGCTATACTTTGCATTTCTCTATGAAAGTATTTATTGGCTTGTATACTGTCAAATGGACAAGTAAACACATTGGTAATTCTGTTGTTTTGGTTGGAGAAGCCAGCAACTAATCAGAGCCAGTAAGAGTTAAACATTTAGGCTTGTATGTCATGGTATCAGTTGCCAGAGGACTAAACCATGCTTCAGAAATAATAATAGATCCCAGAGGATGCTTGAGGCTTGGTTCCTGTCCCCATCTCTGTTAATGGTGTATTTAGGTTAGAATCTTTAGTTTTCTCTGAACTGATTTTTGTTGGTTGTACTAGTTAACTCGGATATATATATAGAAGCTCCACAAAGCTTTGTTCTGGATACAGAAAAAAAGTCCTGCGTCAAGTTTTAGGAGTACCTAAATATTCATATATATATTCATATATATATGTCAAATTGAGCTAGTAGCTAATTATTTAGCTTGGATTTAGAACAAGTTCTAAAGCTCCAAAACAAAAATCCGTGCAGGCAGGTGTGAAATGCTACCACTGTGGTCTGGCTGACTCTGGGTTATGGTTGCTTAAAAAGTGCTAATGTCTGAACAAGGCATGGGTGAGCGGATCCAAAGCTGGTTTTTGCCCAGTTAAGAATTGGTAATTTGGCTGTAGTGAGGTGTATAAAAGAGGGCAAGTTAAATGCTCATCTCAAAGACAGGGATGCAGTCCAAAGAACACACCTATATTCCTCTTAGCTGCCTTGTATGCTATGGCTTGCAGCGTTTACAGAGTGAGCCTTCATGGGACTTCTGTTAACTGCTCAAAAAAACCCTGCAGACTTTTCTTTGGCCCTTCACAAGCTTTCATCCTGAAGTCCCACCTGCATTCCCTGATAGAGTCTGAGTCTGTGTTTGATTTTGAAAATGCTTACTAAAAAAACAGTTTTAAAGTCACCCTGCAACTTTTCTTAGATAAAGAAAAGCCAAAAGAAAGCTGAAGAAAGCCCACATTAAAAACTGCAATATAACATGAGGAAACTGCAGGTACCTGTCATTTAGCAGTAGACTGACTGCCAGTACAACTACCTACCAGTTTTACAATACTCTATTTGTTCAGTTACGATGACATATAGAAATGGAGGAAGTGAAGAATCAGCTCCACGCCCCTGGCATTAGACATTATCACCCAACCGGGCATCAGAGATTTACTTCTTTTCCCGTTCCTTCTAGCCTAATAGAATAATACAGCTCAGTGTTCTGAAAAAAGTTATAATTGATTCATTACATAAATGTCATGGGAATTGAAGTTCAGATTTGTTATATGCTGAATAAAATACCTTCGTACCTGTTCATCAGACTTTAAAGACAACTGCCACTAGGCTGTCATGTGCCAGCGAGCAAAAATTAAATTTGGCTGC